TTTCATGCAGCTGACGACAAGCGTCGGCCCAGAGCTTGCTGGACGCCTGCGCATATCACGATCGAGAGTTACCTGGAGGTACACTTCGGCACCCTCCCGTTTGAATTTCTGCTCGGGAACATGTGGGCGGATTTTTTCGCCAGGGAGGGGGCCAACATGCACGCAGTGCACAAATCGACGGTCCAAATGTTCGAGGCCAGGCTGAGCCAAGAGAAGTTGAATGCTAAGTTCTTCTCATGGGCGGCTGCTAAGCTCATCACCAGGGACTCCACAAGCAGTAGACCCGAGAGGCTCAAGTTAGGTGGCCCCCCGATTCCTGTACAGCATGTAGGATTGCGTGTGCATGAGGTGGTCATCCGCAGCCCTGGGGTCTGGCAGTGCAAGAAATGTTTGGCCACGGCTCGGACTCCAGCCAGTTTGTTGAAACTCGTTGCGGGAACCAGTAATTATGCTAAGTGTGAGCCTACGGAGCAACAAAAGCTCCAGGCCCGCAATGATGTTGCATTGCAGCGCGCATTGCCTTACAGGAGTGAGGCGGTCAACGTTGCGCTAGGTCTGGCGCAGGATCTCAGCCCACCCGATGACCCTGTCGTTCCTGGTCCGTCGGGGGCTCAGCAGCCGTGTGCAGACGACATTGTAGAGTTAGATGGCCACCGAATTCTTTCGAATCTCGGTGCAATGGTTTGCACATTGTGTGGGTCGTACCAGCTTAATGCTGGGCGTGCGGGGCACTCGAAGCTTGGAGGATGCTGTCTGGGCCCTTCCCAGCACCCCCCCACACTGTATAAGCAGAGGCATGCTATTAAGGCCATCAAGGCGGGTAAGAACCCCAAGAATGGCCAGCCGTTCAAACTGTTTTGATGAGTTTCTTTGGCCCGCTCTGTTTTCCGTCACTTTTTCCCCTGGGAATCCACGGTAAACGAGCTGGGCCCACATGATTGGCCCATGCTCCCGTAGTTGGTTGCATGACAGGTCATCCGAGGCGTCCTCCTCCTCCTCCTCCTCCTCCTCCTCCTCCTCCTCCCTTATCCTCCTCCTTTATCCTCCTCCCTTATCCTCCTCCTCCTCCTCCTCCTCCTCCTCCTCCTCCTCCTCCTCCCTTATCCTCCTCCTCCTCCTCCTCTCCTCCTCCTCCTCCTTCCCTCCTCCTCCTCCTCCTCCTCCTCCTCCTCTCCCTCCTCCTCCCTTATCCTCCTCCTCCCTTATCCTCCTCCTCCTCCTTCTCCTCCTCCTCTTCCTCCTCCTCCTCCTCCTCCTCCTCCTCCTCCTCCTCCTCCTCCTCCCCCCTCCCCCTCCCCCTCCCCCTCCCCCTCGCCAGCCTCCCCCGCGCGGTCGGCGATCACAAATCTCAGAGAGCACATCTGTTGGGGGCTTGCCTGCAGAGTACAGCGGGGGCCCGCCTCCAGGGTGCGAGAGCCCGCACCGAGCTAAACAAAAAACAAGGAAGAAGTCAGCGATCGTCTGGGGGAAGAGACTCAGGAGGGACAAAAAACACAGACACAATTCATCGTCGGTCACCCCGAAAATCTGGGAACATATGGGAAGTGGGGGGGAAGGCAAAAACCCAGAACATGTGGGCGAAAGATGGGGAATCCTGGTATTTGTGTGTATTTATTTGTGTGTCCCAGGGCACCCTCAGAGACACCTGCACGAACACCAGGCTTCGGAGCTCCACGCGCACATCCCGGAGCGGCGCGGGGCCCCATGAGCGCGCGGCGCGCCGCCGGGGGCCGGCGGTCGAGGCTCCTCGCCGCGCCGCGCGGGGGGGGGGCTCCATGGCCGACCCCGGAGCTCCGCGCGGACCTCGGAGAGATGAGGGTTGCAGACCCGGGCGCCAGGGAACACCCTGCTAGGGGGCCACATGCGAACCCTACCCCTACCCCCCACGATTTCTGAGGGGGAGGGTGGGGTTCACTTCGTTCGGGAGCTCCCGAGCGAAGTGAACCCCAGACTCCCCCTCAGAAATCGTGGGGGTAGGGGTAGGGTTCGCATGTGGCCCCCTACCTGCGTGCCTCCAGGGTGCCCGTGGGTGTCCTGGGCTTCGATGGTCCTGCCGTAGGAAAAGCGCGGCGTTCCCACGCTAAAAAGTCGGCGGACGCCCTGGGGTCTCTCCGGGTGGGGTTTCTTGTGGAGGGTCTCTGGTGGTCGGGCCCCTGCTGTGTGCACCCCTCGGGCCAATCTTGATCGGGGAAGTGCCCCGCCACCTGTCCGCACTCGGGCACACCGCGCATCAATGAGATCTGTTAGACTGGGCATCTGTTCGCGCCTCCGCGGGCCACGTCCGCCGCGCTCGGAGCTCCGTGGAAGTGTGCCGTCGGGACGTTCCGACAAGAATGGGCCTGCTGCTCCGACTGTCCTCAAAAATAGTGCACAGCTGCATCGGCGGCTGCACGCGCTGCCGCTTCGTTGCCTCCTTGAGGACCTGTTCTCTGCGGCTCGCAGACGTGTCCTCGGCTTGGCTTTGGCTATGGTTTACCGTGTCGCGCCGTCGGTTCTGGCCCACCACGCTTCGGCACGACGCGCTATCCACGTCGCGGTCCACGAGACCCAGCGCAACGTCCCGAGCTTTGCCCAGCCTGCCGTCCTGCGGAGCCGAGCGCCACGCTGTTCACTTGCAAGGCATCGCGTGTCGCCAGGGCCGCCGCAGCGACGTGCTAAGCAAGTCTTCCCGACCGTAGAGCATGCAGACAGCAATGCTGTTGCTACGTGCTACTACAGCGTCTGCAGTTCACTCGGCGTCAGGGCCATCTCCGCGTGCAGGCACGTCCATCGGGCACTGCGCTCGAGCAGTAACGCACGCCTTGACGCGCGGAGGAGTAGGTGCTTCCTTGACGCGCGGAGGTGGTGCGTGTTCTGTCTGTGCTCCGGGTTGTCTGCGCCCCCCCTCGCCTCTCCGCCTCCCCCCTCTCCTGCCTCGCAGCTGTCCTGCCGGTCGTGTCGGGGTCGGTCCGCCTCCGCTCTGTGCCGCTCTATGGCCACCGCCCTTTCTGCCCCCGCGCGGTGCAGCCACGGGCGAACGTACGCACCGGGGCGCGGGCTCGCCTCGCCCGCTCCCGTCCCCTGTCTCGCCCCCCGTCTGCGTTTGGGCTGTCTGAGTTCTGCCTTCCTTCAGAGCGTGAATTACCTACCCCGCTTTCGCTTCCAGGCAAAACCAAGCCATACCACGCGCCTCCTCGTCAAGCGGCCTGACCAGTACGGGCTGCAATTTGGCATCGTTTGGTATCTCTTGGAAGCGAGGGTGGTCAAAAGCGAGGTAGGTTTGTTTTCCCCCTATTCCTCCTTCCTCTCCCCCTTCCTTCTCCTCGTCTCGCCCCGCTGGGCGCTCGGTTCACGTGATCATTGGCTGTCCAAGCCGCGGGGTTTTGTGCATAAGAGCCGTGCGGCTCTCTTCCCAAAGCCAGGACTCCGTGTGTTTGCTTTTTGCCTAGTAGTACAGGGCGATGCGCGAAACGTTCTTGGCATGCTGCACGAACGGATGACACCGTCGCTGTGATGTCCGTTGGGCCTCTCCCTGCATGTTGTGCATCGAAGTTCGACCTCATGACTTTATTTCGTGCTCTTCTCCAGCTTGGCATTTCATCGCAGTGAGTCTACCGTATTCTTCAGCATTGGCCGAGTCGTGGGCGATTGGTGTTGATCGCGTCTCGTGGTATCCGTCTTGGCCCTACCCTTGTTTGACTGGGCTGGGCAGTGCATTTTGCCATGGCGTGTCGATGGACATTGAGTTGTGCGGCGTCGCCCAAGCCTTCAATCGACAATGTCTGGATAGTGGCGCTGGATTCCTTGTGGAGGTTTGCGTTCACAGTGATGGGTTTTTCGCAGTTTCTCCGTCAATGGCGTTGACCTGTACCTGTGCGCCCCCGTCGGTGCCGCCATGTTACTACGCTTTTCACAGACGCGCCATGGGCCAGATAAGTAACTGTTTTTTTCCTGCGCGCGGATTGGTGCGTGCGCGAAAATACGCCGCCGCGGCTTTGCGTTGCTCGCTCGAGCTCTCGAGGCCTCGCTGAGTTGTCCAACCGCCCCCCCCCCGACCCCCCTGCGATCGCCCCCACAGGGGGCGCGACCCCCCCCTTCGGGGCAATGGCGGCAATGCAATGCCAAGATTCGCGCGCGCGCCCCCCAGCTCCTCCCCCCCTTCCCCACGAGGCTTGAAAACGTTAAAACCCCAAGCGGATGGCACGCCTGCGCCAATAAAACACAAGGTCCGCCGTGTCTGCGCCAGCGCCTGCGATGACAGGGCGATGCGGGGACCTCAGAGGTGCCTGCGCTTCACCGTGGCGGCGCCTGCGCTGACAAGAAAACGAGCGCCCGCGGTGCCTGCGCCGACGGCGCGATAGCGAGGAGATGCCCGCACCCCATCATTTGCACGCCCGCGGTGCCCGCGCCCAGCCGTGCGCGGCGCCCGCGCGCATGAATCGATTGCCCCCGCGCGGGGCGATGCTTGCACCCTACAAGTTGACGCGCTCGCGGTGCCTGCGCCGAGTTGCGCCGTGAGCTCCGGGCGCTGGAGGTAGCGGAACGGAGCGGTGATTGGGCCGCGCGTCCTCGGCGCGACGTCGCTGGTCTTGCGTAGAGCAGGCAGCAGCCACCTGGGCGCGGCAAGCATCGAAGAAGATTCCAAAATGGTTTAAAAGTAGTCGATGGACGATTTTTCTAATATTTTTGAATATTTTTGAGCATTTGTTGGCAATTGTTTGATTTGTCCAAAATCCGGCTGTAGGAAGACATGCCCGACCTAAGAACAAGAGGACCCGAACACGGAGGGGGAGGCGGGAAGGACGCGGGGGGATGCCAGCGGGGCTGGCGGAGAAAGCGGATGGTCAACGAAGCGTATTTCAGATTTGGCATCGCTCGGACGTGTGCATTTTTTCTCGGCGAGGACCATCGAGGAGCATTTTGGGTCACCTTGCGAAGACATACGCGCACGAAACCAACAAATGCACGAGGAATGGACGTCCGAGCGATGGCGAGCAGACTGGCCGACATCAGCCATCAAGCGGTTGGCGGATTTCATCTCGGTCAGCTCTTACGGCAAGGGCGCAGTCTCTGGAGAACTCTACTTCCGGAAGGAACGCGCGCGAGCGGCGGCAGGGGAGGGAGCGTACAGCCAGCCCGCATAGGAAAGGATGGGCAACCTTCCCAGGGGTACCCTTGTATCCTTGCCTCCTCGGTCTACCCTGCGCCACTTTCGTGGGCCGCGCCCCGCTCGAGAAGCTTCGAAGTGGGCGTCCTAGGCCCTCGCATCCTTATCCCGCATCCTTACTACAGTCAACGCGCCTAGTAAGGACGCGCGCCTTCATCTAGGGTACCTTATGTCCTTGCCTCTGAGGCTCGTCCTTGCCATTATCACTGGTCGCCCGCCGCCCTAAAAAACCCAACTTCGGCCTCCAAGGGTCTTGCGTCCTCATCACCCGTCCTTTATATACGTTTTGACTGTATGCGGGTTGACTGCAGCGGATCCTCGAGATGCACGCTGGCCCAGTGCGCACGCACCCCGCCCAGCTCCGCCGATGGAGCGCAGCCTGCGCCGGCCCGCGTCGCATCGCAGGGGCCACACGGTGGACAGAAGCCCCGCGCTGGCGCCAGCGCGCGCTCCGAGGGTCACCGATCGGGGGTGGACAGAAACCCCAACAGTGACACGTCGATTAGTGAATTGTCCGTTTTCGGTTCTCGAGAGGGCGCCGCGGCCGTTATTTTCCAGGCTTGCGCCCGCCAGGTTTGGGCCTCAGGTCGTTTTCACTAAACCACGTTTTACTAAAGGGAGGTCTGCCCATCCCCGAATCGAGCGGGAGGGGGGGGTCCGGTCGGCGAAGACGCCCGCACGCGCCCGTGCCCGTCTGATGCGGGCTGGCACCGGGCGGCAGCTGGCCCGAGGCGCTGCCGGCGTGGAGAGGGAGGGTTCTGCCCCAGGCGGTGCTCTGCTGCGGTGTCGAGGCGTTGCGTGTTTGTTGTGTTCTGCCGCTCGTGCTCTGAGCTGAGCGCGTTCTGCACCTTGGCTCTGAGCGAGTCCGAACGCGGTGAGTGCTGAGCGCGTCTTGTCTTCATCCTGAGCGACAGCCGAAAGCGACGCTGGCCGTGCGTCTGGGCGACGCGCTCTGGCGGCGAGGGCTCCCCGCGGGCGCGCCTCCGCTCGCGGGGCTCCGGCGGGCCCTCCCAAGAGGGCCGGAGGGCCGGAGGCAGGGCTGCGCCCGCCGGGTCCGAGCGCACGGGCTCGGAGGGTCGCGCCGCGTCGCCGCTGCATCGGCGGCGCGGCTCGATGCTCACCGCCTACCATCAGGAGGAAAAGAAACACACAGACACAATGAATCCTCGATTCCCAAGAAAATATGGGAAAATACGGAAAGTGGGGGGGGGGAAGACAGAAACCCAGAAAACATATGAAAATATGGGGAATATTTGTTCTTGTGTGTATTTATTTGTGTGTGTCCTGGGGCCCCTTCATACCAAGCCACCCCAACCCAACCCGAAGGCCTCAAGTTGCCACCCATTTCCAGGGGGGGGGGGTCGGGGAACACGGACAAAAAACACATGGAACCCGTAGCGCCCCCAACCCGGAATTCGGGTCCAATTCGGGTCTTCGGGTTGGGTGGGGGTGGTCTGGTAGGTAGTCAGATTCGGGGAAGCGAAAGGTTCGAGCAAGCCAGAGCTCGGTATCGCCGACGTTTTTTGGGCGGGCGCGCCCTGGATTTGGGCGGTCGGGTTCTCGTAGGATGTGTCTGCAGTGGGAGGTTTCTCGAGGTCCTTAAGGGAGTCCCGTGCCGGGGGTCTTTCTTGGAGCAGTCTAGGGCGCGATGGTTCTACCGAGTCCCTGCGAAGAGGAGCGGTTGAATTATCTTCAGGCCATCCAACCGTGTCTCAGAGCCTTTTTGGAGACCTCGTGGAGCGGTCCTGGGCTGTCTTGGGCGATGGTTTGGCCGTCTCAAGGGCTTCTCATGCTTCTCCGAAGCATTTCGGATGTCATCTAAAGTGGCTCGGAAGCGAAAGACATCCAACACCTTCACGAGTCTTCTTTGCTTCTTGGAGGCGCTTTGGAACATTTGGGTACCTCCTGGGGGACTCTTGGGGGCGCCTTGGGGCACTTGGGGCATCTTGGGGGTCGCCGCCTTGTGGTGATCCTCCGCGTCCTGGGGGCAGACCAGAGGCCGACAGGATCGCCGGAGGGCAAAACTGGTGGGGGGCGATCCACAGTCAACCTCCCCGGGGGTTCAGAGATGTGGCCCCTGCGGGATGGGGGCCCAAAGGACGAGTGGCCTCAAACAGACTTCGGGTGAAGCTCGAGATCCGCTTCCTGCCCTCAGGGCCCCAGCCCTCGGGGCCCCCTATTTTGAACCGCCGGACCTCGCGACGAGCGGCCTCCGAAGGTCCCCGAGGGCCTCCAGAGTCTTCCAGGAAGGCCTCGGGATCCGAGGAACATCAGCACGCGTCCGAAGGGCCCACCCCTGCCCCTCCGGAGAAGCCACCCGCCACTGCCCGGGCCGCTCCCGGGGTGCCTTCTGACGAGGAGTTCCAGGCGAGTCCGGCGGTGTGGACGAGGGCTTCCCAGGAGGCCCAGAGAGAGGGGAGAACGGGCGAAGGGTAGCAGTATGGGTACCCCAGATTTCGTATGACTTCGTAATCAATGGATGGGGAGATTTCGTATGATTTCGCAGAAAAGGGAGGGGGGTCTCATTTCGGGAGGGGGTCTCTTCCAGGCTGTCTTGGAGGGCCTGGGGGGTCTGGGGACGATGTTTTGGAGGGTTCTCCCAGGGGGAGGTCTGAAATGGCTTGTCTTGGAGGGTCCAGACCCCCTCCCTTCTACTACGAGATCTGGAGTACTCCAGATCTCGTAATAAAAGGGAGGGGTCTGGACCCTCCAAGACAAGCCATTTCAGACCTCCCCCGTGGGAGAACCCTCCAAAACATCGTCCCCAGACCCCCCAGGCCCTCCAAGACAGCCTGGAAGAGACCCCCCCCCCGAAATGAGACCCCACTCCCTTTATTACGAAATCTGGAGTACCTTTTCCTCCTCCGAGCCCCTCCGCCGGGGCGGCCGGCAGCAGACACGACACGAACATGCCGTACCGCGGCCGCGAGCCCAAAGTGTGCTGGCCTGACTTGGGTATCACCCCGAGTGTCTTCGACGGCAGCAGGGCACGCCTGGGCACGCCCCCAGCTGTCACCACCCACCAGACCACCCCAACCCAACCCGAAGGCTCCGGTTTACCCTCGATTTCCAGTGGGGGGGGGGTCGGGAAACGTCGGAAAAAAACACATGTGGAACCCTTACCCCCCCCCAACCCGAAAATCGGGTCTTCGGGTTGGGTTGGGGTGGTCTGGTAGGTAGTCAAACTTGTGCAGTTGGCGGGGCGCCGGCGGGGATCGGAGGCGAACGGGCGCTGCCGCGAGCCTCCGGAGGTCCGACGCACAGCAGGAGGGGAAGAAAAACACACAGGCACAAGGAATCGCCGATCCCCCTGAAAATAAGGGGAAAATGGGGGAAGTGGAGGGGGGAAGAGAAGAGCCCCGAAAGTATGGGAACATGTTGGGAATCCTACTATCAGTGTCTATTGACTTGTGTGTCCCAGGGCCCCTTCAGTACAGTGGAGGCCCATGCCAAGAAACGCCCTGCTAGCCTCCAGGTTGCCCTGGGTTTCTTGAATTTCGGTGGTTTTTCTTTGGATCGCGACGCTCCCGCACCGGAAGAAATCAGTGGGCGTCCTGGGGTCTCGGGGTTGGGTTTCTGGTGGAAGGTTTTTTATTGTGGACTGGCCTCCACTACTATTTTGCTCAGTGCGGGGTGCCCGGAAGTCCCGACCCCTTCCCTGGGGTGACGATTTCGCATCTTGACCCCGGCCGGGGGCCCGGCGAGGGCCGCCAGGGGGCGAGAACTATGAAACATGTCCGTATTGCATGTTTCAACACGTTGGGGCTACGGGCAATGGAGGATGACGATTAATAAATGACCGGGGGTCGTGTTCATGCGGCGGCGCCCGGGATGACGATTAGAAAAAACCGGCCGCGGGCTGGAAAACTATGTTTTAAACCGTTCTCCTCCAGTCAGAAAATTGAGCAGAAATAGCAGACAACTATTTTTTTAATCGTTCCCTCCCATTTGTTTTATTAATCGTCATCCCGCAGTACAAAGCCCCCTCTCCAACAAGGCACCCGCCTCCGCTGCTTGGTTGCCGTCGTCGCTGGCGGTTCGGCGCTCGTCGCCGAGGGCCAGCGCGCCGCCGCCGCTCCCAGAGGCGGTCCATCACTCAGGAGAGGAAAAAACACACAGACACAATCAATCCTCGATTCCTCAGAAAATGTGGGAAAATATGGGAAGTGGGGGGGAAGACAGAAGCCCAGAAAATATCGGAAAATGTGGGGGATAGTTGTATTTGTGTGTATTTATTTGTGTGTCCTTGGGCCCCTTCAATCACACCGCAGATCTGGGAGCACCTCCGATCTAGTCCTCCTCGAGGGGATCGGAGTAGCGGGGGCGACCAAGAGGGGGGTGATGACTAGGGGGGGGGGATCTCATGGCGGGGACCATGATATCTCCCCGGATTTCGTGGCGCCTCCTCTTATTTCATTGCGCCCCAAGGGTCCCTTTGGACCGCGCACATGCCGCGGGCCATGATTTGCGCTCCCCCCCTCTTGGACGCCCCCCTCTTGGACGCACCCGAGAGTGGGATGGTGTCGGGGGGTCGCGCCGCATCGCCGATGCATCGGGGATGCGGCTCGACGTGGAGCCAGATTTTCTCCATGCCGTCGGCGTCGATGCATCGTCGACGTCACCGATGCATCGCCAATGCATCGGCGATGCGGCGCGATCCTCCGACCCCATCCATTCGGACCCCATGTGGGAGGCCTCTGTCCGAGGCACCTGCGCGCCTCCGATCGGCCGCTGCTGCACAGACCTCCGAGATTCGGGCATCGAGGGAACGCCCACCCAGACGAGTCGACCGAGGAAATCCGCATCTGTTCACTCCGCACTGGCATTCGGGTCTTGGAGCCGGCTGGGGGTCTGAGGTGGCCCAGCCTTGGTTCCGGCCAGCAGGAAGGGCGGGCAGCTTGGAGGTTATCCGGGACGACCGACATGGGTACGGAAAGAATGGGTACAATGCCCAACAGCAGTTCTTGTTCATTTTGAACAGGACTCGCTGTCTGCGCCGCCGCGGCCTGTGTACTTGAGACAGAAGGCCGCCTGCCCAAAAGCGGCCGCTGTTGGTTTGGGACAACATTTGTTGTTGGGCATTGTACCCACTTTTTCCGTGCGCATTTCGGGCGTCCAAAGTTTGGGTTCGGGAAGGCTTTACCTTTTTGGGCCTCCCAGGGCCGTGTTCGGGCCTCGGCCCTGTCAGCAACGAATCCGGGGGTGAAAAATGGCACCAGGTGGACCTTGCGAGGGGTCGGGGGACCGATTTTGACAATTTGAGGCTTCGTCCCCTCCTCCTGAGAGTGTGGGTGTGGTGGTTGTTTCGGGGGTCTTCTTACGGACCCCGAAGAAGAAGGGAACCGGAACCATAACCAAAACCGAAGCCGAAACCGAAACCGGAACCGGAACCGGAGTCAAAACCAGAACCGGAACCGGAAATGGAACCGAAACCAGAACCAGAGCCAGAACCCGAACCAAAACCACCACCACACCCATGTTGCCTCTTGGCCGGTTTTCGAAGGTCCCAACAACCAGTTCAGACCAACTTGTCGGATCCGCCTTGGCATGCGGATGCAGCGGCGCAGTTCCTACTCGGTTTCGCGAAATCGAAGTGTGTTTTGCCAGATACATTTAAGCCGGGCGTGTCCCTACACAGGAGGAAAATTCAACCATAGTATAGAAATAATAGTCGGGTGACGATGAAGTTGTTCTGATCCTTCTTTATGTTTCGTCGAAAACCCGCCTGTATAGGGGGACATGCCCGACCTAAATATACATCTGGTTGCTGGTGGGCGACTGTCGGATATTCCGTCCGGGTGCGCTCGGAGTTCAATGCCGCGCGCCCGAGGGGTGTTCCCGACAGCTTCCACTGAAGGAACGGGCGTTTTGCTCGAGGTGGCTCTGGCAGCCCTCGAGAGGGGAATGTCCGAGAGCGCGTGCAGCCAAGGCGCTTAAGGAAGGACCGTTTGGGCCTCAGGAGGGGCCCCGATTCTCAGGCCGTTCCCGCAGCTTGCGGTCTGAGATTCTGCTTCGCGTGTCGCGCCGCGGGTGCCGGGCCCATCACGCTTCGGTGCAGCACGCCAGCGTCGTCCCCAGCCCACCCCCTTGGCATCGCTCGGACGTGTGCATCTTTCCTTCGGCGAGGGCCTGTCAGCGCGCGCTGTCAGCTTGCAGGGCACAGCGTGTCGCCAGGGCCGCCGCAGCGGCACGGGAGGCCGAGGCTCCCGACCAGAGGGCTCCTCCTCCTCCTCCTCCTCCTCCTCCTCCTCCTCCTCCTCCTCCCCCTCCTCCTCCTCCTCCTCCTCCTCCTCCCCCTCCTCCTCCTCCTCCTCCTCCTCCTCCTCCTCCTCCTCCTCCTCCTCCTCCTCCTCCCCACTCTCCTTCTTCTTTGCGGCCGTGTCTCGCCGCGGCCAGAAGAGCCCTTCCGTGTCTGCCTCGGAGATCCCTCTGGTAGTATGCGACGACTGCGTGTCCTGGCCCGCGCGGTCGTCGACCGATCGGGCTGGACGAAAGGGTGGGATTGGGAAAGGGGGGGGTTACGAAATCACGAACAGCAGAACGAAGACAAACAAGCACCGTTTAGATTCAGCCCTGGTGTGGGCCTCGCGGGGACACGGAGCGAGCTGACCTTCGGTGTGCATTTGTCAGGCCCCAAGTTCGGGCCGGACGAAAGGGGGGGATTGGGAAAGGGGGGGTTACGAAATCTGCTGCATGCAGCTGGTGCCGGGCCCACGGAGTGGCCCATTCCTCGATACCTGGGCGCCTCCGGCGCCGGGAGGCGCCGGGAAAATCAGCTACGTGAGCGGATTTTCACCCCCCCCCCCTTTGCTATCCCCCCCTTTCGCCCGACCCGAACTGAGTCCACTCTGACGATCGCTTCGGTGCTGCCCTCTCCATCCAACAGTGCGGTGTTCCGGACGGCGTGCGCGAGCCGCGGCCCAAGTTCGCTCGAGTAAGCCGGAATTCGGGTTTGCCGACATTTTTTGACGAGCGCGTCCTGGATTTTGACGGTCCAGTTTTCGCGGGATGTCTGCAGCGGGAGCTCGTGTCAAATTTCAGATTGGGTCTCGTCATTCTTATGGTGGCCCCGTCAGGCCAACCCGAGTCTTCCGTACCCGAGTCTTACGTCTCCCCGACAAGGGTCACTCCCCATCGGCAGTCGACGCGGGAGGCTGAGGCGGGCGCGCGCGGCGGAGCGCAGTGGCTGCCGGAGAGCGCTGTGCAGCCGCGCCCCCGGGGGGTATTGTTCGGCAGTTGGCGCATGAATCAATTTCGGGGGTGGACAGACCTCCTACCCTGACACGTCGATTAAGGAATTGGCCGTTTTCGGTTCGCGAGAGGGCGTCGCGGCCGTCATTTTTGCCGGTCCAGGTCCGTCGGGTTCGGTCCCAGGCCGTTGTTACTAAGGGGAGGTCTACTAAAGGGAGGTTTGTCCACCGCCGAGGTATTGTTCGGCAGTTGGCGCATGGGTCAGTTGTTGTTGGAGCGTTGCTGCGCAATGTTGCGGCGGTTAAGGTAGTTGCCTGCTATTTGCACTGGTGAGCAATATGTCGCGCAGGACGTGACGCTGGAGTTGCAGAACCGTCGAGTTATTGTCGTAGAGGACATCGTGGATACAGGCCGCAACTTATGAGCATGAGTATCCGCAGCTAGGCAAAAAAAGTGGAGCAGAGTTTCAGAGGGCACGGGAGCCATTTGAGTCACAACAGTTTGCAAGCGTTATTGTTTACACGCTTCATGGAAGTCAGAGTCTAGAGGCTTCCGTTTGGCCAGCACGAGAAAAATGTGGGAGGACGACGGCGAGGACGAGCTGACTCCCGTGGGCGTCCCACGAGCGGATTCCTGTGTTGTGCCAAGCCGCCCCTCGTGGAAGACACCAACCGCCAGCATGGAGTCTTCATGCTAGGAGGGGGGACGAGGAGGAGCAGCATCAGCAGCAGCAGCAGCAGCAGCAGCAGCAGAGAGAGCCACAGAGTCGTGCCGCTCTCCAGGGAAGACCCTGAACGCCATCATGGAGTCCTTCTCTGCCAGGAGGGACGGTCGGCCCCAGCCTCTCAGACGCCCACCCGCCTCCCACAGGCAGGGGCGTGGCCACGGCTGACGGCCCTACTGTTCTGTCGGGCGTGTCCCCATTACAGGGGGATTTTCGACGAAAAATAAGGAATACCCCACAAATAGTCAAAACATAGTCCAAACATAGTCTGGGGACCATTTTTGGAGTATTGTTTGACCATGTTGGAATAGTTTGGGGGGTATTGGTTTATCTATCGTCGACAATCCCCCTGTAGGGGGACACGCCCGACCTAACCCTACTTCTCTCCTGGTGGTCGATCTGCCTGCGCAGCACGCAGCGCGCCGCCACGCTGCGACGGGGTGGCCCTGTGCCCGGGCACGAGAGGGCCAGCTCACGCGACGCAGCGCAAAAGCTGGCATGGGCGAGGGAGGACGAAGTGTGAGCCAGGGCTGGACCTAAGCGGTGTTCTGGCCATCGCGTGGGCCGTGGTGTTGCTCGTTACGGTTCGCATCCAAGGCGAAGCGAAGGCAAAACGGGGAAGAACGAACAGCAGAACGAAGACAAAAAAACACCGTTTAGATTCAGCCCTGGTGTGGGCCTCGCGGGGACACGGAGCGAGCTGACCTTTGGTGTGCATTGTCAGGCCCCCAATTCGGGCCGGACGAAAGGGGGGATTGGGAAGGGGGGGGGTCGAAATCTGCTGCATGCAGCTGGTCTTGGCCCCACCGAGGGGCCCATTCCTCGATAACTGGGCGCCTCCTGACGCCGGGAGGCGCTGGGAAAAAATCGGCTACGCAAGCGGCTTCTCAAGGCCCCCCCTTTGCTATCCCCCCCTTTCGCCCGACCCGACAAGTCCCCTGGGGCGCCGAAGGCGTCGGCACCCGACCTCTTCACGGGGAGGGCGGGCCTCGGGGGTGCCTCGGGGCAGGCCGCGAGGTGCTCTGGCAGCAGCGTCGAGTGTGGTCCGCGCCGTCTCGTTGGACGGGGGGTGCCGGGGCTTCGGCATCGTCGTCGCACGTCGCCCTCGCTACCCCTTCCTGACAGGGGCGATGGGCCTCTGGGATCTGACGTGGGCATCCAGAGCGTCGCCGCGGATCGCCCGCTCCAGGCTCTCGACGGGGATGAGGCGAGGGGTCTCCGAGGCGAGCCTGGAGGGTCCTCTGGATGTGGCCATCGGGCGAAGGCGGGGCGTCAACTCCTGGGCCGCACTGGCGCCGAGGACCGCCTCTGGCCTCCAGCAGGGTCACAGCGCCGCCCAGCGGAACAGCCCAGAAGTCGTCGTGCTCCGCACGGCAGGGGGTCGGGAACGAAAGAGGGACGTACACGCACACTGGAGACCCATGCCAAGAAGCACCCTGCTTGCCTCCAGGGTGCCCTGGGTTTCCTGGGTTTCGATTGTTCTGCTGTGGACAGCGCGACGCTGCCACCCCAAAAATCAATGGGCGTCCTGGGGTCTCAGGCTTGGGTTTCTTGTGGAAGGTTTCTTGTGGACTGGCCTCCACTGTACATGGACCCACGCTGGTTTCGAGAGCACGCCTTGCGCGCATGCTCGTATCCCCAGGCCGCTCTCGCGGATCGAGGGGCCGTGTTCACGCGCATGGTGGGGCACGCGTATTCTCGGGGGGCTCCCCTGAGAGAGGCTCCCGGGGGTCGCCACGGCACCTCCTCCTCCTCCTCCTCCTCCTCCTCCTCCTCCTCCTCCTCCTCCTCCTCCTCCTCCTCCTCCTCCTCCTCCTCCTCCTCCTCCTCCCCCACAAGCCTGCCGCGACGAGGAAGAGGCCGCCACCGGCTGGACCGAGCCAGCGGGAGCCCGCACGGAGGCCAGATTGGCACGCCGCCGCGCGAGCTTGCGCGCTTGCGCGCACCTCGCGCCGGGTGCCGCCCAGGGGGCACGTGCACCGCGGCAACGCGGCAGGGCCGATCGATCCGATGCAATGCCGATTCCGGCCAGACCTGCGGGAAGCGGGCCCTCTGAGGTTTCTCGCCGCTGCCGGGCCCTCCTCGGGCCCTCCTCGGGCCCCATGGACGGTCAGAGAAGGATTCCGGAGGAAGAGCTGGTGCTGGGGGGGAGGCCCCGGGGTCCAGGACCCGTGTCCCTCGGGACCCGCTTCCCCCATGCTAGGATACTTCGACGATCCGATGCGGCCCGAGGTTTCCATCGCGAACGAACAAAACACACCCATACCCACAGGGGGGTCGTTGGGAGGAGGATTGGTTATGAGTATGGGTGCGGGTTGTCGGACCCTGGGGAACGCTCCCGTTCGAGCGGGGACCCCCATTCGACAACACGCACCCATAGCCCTCTCCGACCCCCTATGGGTATGGGTGTGTGTGTGTTGTTGGTTCATCATTCCATGGCGCTGTTGTGCATCCTGGCGCGGCCGATTCGATCCGATATTCGACTCCGTGCCGATGCAGCCAGATCCAGCGCACGTTCCGACTCGACCTTGGTTTCCGATTCGATGCCGACTCGTCCTGCCGCGGTTCCCGACCAGTCCCCGAAGTGCCACGTCCCACGAGGTCGCGCTCGCCCATTTGGGGGTCTCACGCGCGCCACTCTGCCTGGCGTTTCTTGCGCTCTCGAGGGCACGCAATCGCAACTCTTTGCTTCAGTCAACGAACATCTCTCCCCCACAGCCTCGCAGCGGACAGACATGTATCACACCCCATCCTGCCAGTCCTAGCGGAAAGCAAATGCAGTGTATTCGGGGGGAGGCCCGCTGACGATCCCGATTTTGCCCCTACGTGCACTTTGTTGTTGGCAGTTGGTGCTGTTGGGGCCTCGCTGCTCCTGCTCGGCGGCGGGGGAGAGATTGTGCGTTCCTACGTGCGACGACGACGACGACGACGACGCCGACGCCGACGCCGACGCCGACGCCAGCGACGGTGACGACCACCACCACCACCACAACGAGGCGCGGCGGTTCAGCGCCGCCCGCTCCGGAACTGCTCCGCCGGAGCAAGGGGAGTGAGACAGTGCAAGAGCACGGTAGGGGAGGGGCGCCACGTCGGTCACCGTTTGCGCGCTGCTGGACAAGGCGGGGGGGAGTGCACCACACTCTTTCGGTTCGAGGAGCCGCAAGCATGGACGAATGCGCGTGGATCAGCGGTGGAACCCGATTTCATATAGAATCGACGCGAGTTGTCGCCGAATCGGGCAGCAGTGGATGCATGTCTCGAAGGGCATTTTCCCTGAGTCGTGGATCTGGCAACCAAGCGCCAGATCAACAGGATTCGAACGAAATCCACGTAAGCTGGTGCCCGATCGGCGATGATCGCATAATAGTTTCTAAGAAAGCCACTGCCTTCTGTAGAACCGGTCGCCCCACTCCTTTCGTGCGCGGCGCCACCTCTTTGCTCCCTTTTCTCCCTTGACGTTCGGGCGTCGCGGGCACATACCGACGGGCGTTGTCACCCTGTTTCGAGACCCAGACCTTGAACTGACCGATTAGATTCCGAACTCTACAGGCGTGCTTCCAGCCGATCAGGTTCCGAACTCTGCGGGCGAAAATTCTGGGGTGCTTTCCAGCCTAAATAGTACGTAAGGGTTCCCGCCGCCCTGATTCATATTCGTATTTTGTCACACGCAGGTTCATACCCATTCAGGTCCATTCACATTCAGACCCGCTAAAAATCTAACTCGCCCCTACGCAAGGTCACTCACACTCAGATTTGCTGCTACTTAGAAGCAGTCAGACTTTGACCCGTTCACATTCAGAGACACACATGCCCATTCATACCCAGGATCACTCACAGTCAGATTCACTCAAACTGGGGCCGACCACTCGGCGGGCTCAAACCCGCCCGTACGCAACCCCACTCGTGCCCAGCCTCGCTCACAACCGGACTCACGAACTGCCAGACGCCCTCGCACTCGGGTCCGCTCGTGCCCAGGCCCACTCGTGGGCAGGCTCCCTCGCACTCAAAGCCACTCATTACTCGAAGTCTCTCGACCTCAGACTCTCACCTGGCATCGCTCGGACGTGTGCATGTTTCCTTCGGCGAGGACCATGGAGGAGCATCCTTGATCATTTGGCGAAAAAGCCACGCACGAAACCGAACAAAAACACAGGAAATGGACGTCCGAGCGATGGCCAGCTCACCCACACGCACAGCAGGCATCGCACACGGGCCTCCCAGGCGGGAGCCACCGGGTTGTCTATCAGGGGCCCGGTCGCGCCCAGATCGGTTTGACCTCTCAGGTTGAGCGCCCGTCTTGGGAAGCAGACGCGTCTCTTTCCAAGACCTCACTATCCCTCCGCGTCCTCCCCTCCTTCTCCTGCTCCACCAGCCCCTCCTTCATTCTGCTCCCCCTCCCTCCTCTTCCCCTCTCTCTTCCCTCCCTCTCTCCCCCTGCCTCCTCGTTCCCCTCCTCCTCCCGCTCTCGTTGCTCTCGTTGGCGGCCAGTGGCACGCTCCCTGAAGCCATGGCGGATGCCTCTTCCTCCCGCTCCTACTGCTCCTCCTGCGGCCCTCGCCCCCTGCTCCTCCCCTCATCGTCGAACGCTGCACGCTCTTCTTCTTGTTGTTATTCCTATTATTAGTAGAATGCTCAGCATTGTCGTTTTCTCATTGTTACCACTATCATTGTGTTTCTCCGTCTTACGAATCATAGTATTACGAACAGTAGTATTATTTACAGGTTCAGAATGATTGTTCGTGTTCGTCTAATTACTCGTGTTAAGTCTTACTGTTATTATCGGTTCGCTGTTTCGTATTATGAGTCCCCTTATTCTTATTATACTTCGCCTTGTTCTCATCATCCGTATCTGCGTTCTGATGTGTATCAGTCTCCTTCTGATTCATGTGCTTGCCCCTCTCCTTCTTCTTCTGCGTCTTCTCATTCTTACTATCAGCAGCCGTAGCAGCATTCTTCTTCTTCGTCGTCCTGCTCTCCTTCTTCAGCCGCCTCGATGTGCCCCCGCTCGGGCGCTCCAGCTCCCGCGGAAGCCGCGCGCGGGGGGGCGCACCGGCTCGCCTTACTTACCGGGCCTGCCTCCGGCCCCGCGGCTGCCTGCCCCCCCCCCCGCCTCCCGGGCAGGGCCCGTGCCGCTTCCTCGTCGGTCGTCGTCGTCCTTCTCGTCCTCGTCGTCGTCGTCGTCGTCGACGCGACGTCCGTCGTCGTCCGTCGGCGTACAGGAGGGGAGAGTCGGGACGAGGACGAGGACGAGGATGATTTCGATTCGGCTCGATGTCGGTGGCTTCCGATTCCGATCCGACTCGACTCTGGATATTCCGATTCGGGCTCCGATTTCTCAGCCTATCAGCTTGCCGCTTCCGATTCGATTCGACGTTTCCCGGCTCGGCTGCCGATTTCCGCCGATGCGGCCGATTTCGAACGCCGATCTGACTTATCGATTCGATTCTGGGCTCTCCTGCCCAGGTCTCCCTTGCCTCGCAGTCCCCTCCCAGCCCCACCCCCTCTCAACCCCAAAGAATGTTCGAACTACCTTGTGGCTTGCACGAAATGTTCTTAGAAACCTCTGGCCGAGGTTGTCTTGTTGAAGCACATCGTGTTTATGTTATATGAACTTTGTTTTGTTATTACATCTTCTTTGGGATCTAAGAACATCTCGTCGTGGGCCTGTAGGAGTGCCGGGACGGTCGATCCCTGCTCAAAGATCTGCGAATCCCCTAGAGCCCCCAGTTCCCCCCCCCAAGAAGCTTCTCCCACCCTGAACGGTGAGATCGACGATCCGTCCAGAGACGATTATTACCAGCCTCGAACGTATCCCTATCCCTAAGATTGACACGCCAAAGGCGATGACAATCTTAGGGATTCGCCCTCAAAAAATAAGGGAATCCCTAAGATTGGCATCGTGATGAGGAGGTGCCCAGCATAGGGATAGGGATATGCTCCAGGCTGGTAAGATTATGGAGTGGCCTGCAGGAGGAACGAGCTGCACATCGCACCGCGCACCCACCCACACACACACACACTTCGCTGTTGCTTCTGCGGCGAGGTGACGGCACCGTGGATGGATTGGATGGGGGCGGCCGCATGCAGAAACACCGCAGAAGCGGCTGCACGCAGAAGAGGCCGAGGCGATCACGCAGTGGAGCGGAAGGCAGTTTGGGGTTGGCATCACACCACACACACACACACGCGAACACGCACGAACACGCACGCACAGACGCACACACACACACACACACACACACACACACGTACACATGCACATAAGCACACACACACACGCACACAGATGCACATGCACATGCACATTCACCAGCACACACAAGTGTGTACATGCATAGGCATATGCATACTTACACACAGGCATACACATACACACAGCACATACATACACATACACACATATACTCACCTTCACATGCACATGCACATGCACATACACATACACATTTCCATGCGCATGCGCTTGCACATACACATGAACATGCACGTTCACATACGTACATACGTGCTTACGTGCGTACGTACGTAAATACATACATGCATACCCCCCACACACACAAGCACACACGCAAACAAACACACACAAACGCACACACATACACGCATGCATGCATGCATGCATACATATGTACGTACGTACATACATGCATGCATACATACATACATGCATATACACAACAGGCGCAACACACATACACACACATATATACATACATACAAACATACATACATACATACATATATATACACACACGCGAGGAAGAATCCGCCCTCCTCCCTTCTCATGCTCCTCCTCCCGCTTCCCCGTTCCTGCCTTGGCCATGCGCCATGCCCTGCCCCCGCTCCTCGCATAGCATCCGCTCGTGGTTGTGCCGCCGGGGCCGCCCCGGAGCTCTGGTGGGCGGGGAGGTGGCACGCCGCACCGCGCCCGTCGACGTGAAGTACAAGGGCTTCGACTGTCCCAACGAGTTCGTCATCGGTTATGGCCAGCTCCGCCTCCTGCCCGCGCCTGGTGCTGCCACTCTGGGCGTCCCGTGGGGTTCGATTCTACTTCGACGGCTTCCGATTCTGATTCGATCCGACTCGGGATTCCGGTTTGGGCTCCGATGCCGTATTGGAGGCAGGCTGGCCTGCCGATTTCTGCCGACTCGATTTTTCCCGACTCGGCTGCCGATTTCCGCCGATCCGACTGATCTCGATGGCCGGTCCGACTTATGGATTCGATTCTGGGCTCGCCTGCCCCTTGCTTCCTAGAAGTCGGTCGCCTCGGCCTGGACCTCGTTGCCAGTCGTCACCGCACGGCTCCGCTGCTCGCCGGGGCTCGGCCGGGCTCGGGCGCTCGCCTGCAGCGGTTGGTCTTGCCGTGCTCCTTGTGCTGCGCTGCTGCTCGGCCGTGGCTGCGGCAGCGGGGGGCACCACAGGTATGGACTGCACCGATGGCGAACACCTGGAGTGCATGGGCGCCTGCGAGCGGCGACGCCCGCAGAAGAACACCCTGCATAAAGAGAACCCTTGGAAGTTGCGCGCGGAGATCCGAACAGTTTATGTTTTTTCGCCTATATAAATATATATATATATATACATATATATATACATATGTGTATGTATGTATGTGTATATATACGTATGTGTACGTATAATTATCGAATCAAGCAAAAACGCTTGGTACAATCCCGAGTCGTCTGTCTGTCTTGCCCCCCGGGGCTTCTCGGAGGGTTGCGCGCGCCCAGGCATCGACTACGCCGAGAGGTACCGCAACCTGCCATACGTCGCCGCCCTGAAGCACACCGTGTACGAGTGAGGCTTCTCAGATTCTGGCGAGCTGGCGTGAGTTCCATCCAGTGCCCCTAGGCCTCCCAGATGGGGTCCGAGCAGATCGGGTCGAAAGATCGCTCCGCATCGCCGATGCATGGGGGATGCGGCTCGATGTGGGGCCCGATTTGCTGCACGTCGACGTCGCCAATGAATCGCCGACGTCGACGATGCGTCGCCGGTGCATCGCCTATGCATCGCCGATGCATCGCCGATGTATCGGCATTGCGGCGCGATTCTCCGACCCCATCTACTCCGACCCCATCTAGGAGGCCTCTAATGTCTCCGCGCACACCACGCTTGCCGCGCGCGGCGTCACCACGCCGCGCGCTCATGTAGGGTTTAGGGGAGGGTCGCGTAGCTTGGTTGCTTATGGAAGTGTGGAGCCCTTGGCTGTGGTGCGGCAGGTTGGTGGATTAGGACATGGCAGTGACGTTCGAGTTCGATCGTTCAAGGGGTAGGGACATGCTTTCGTGTCTAATAACGTTATGTGGACGGCGGAAAACATGATGTGGTGGGAGCAGGTCTCTTACTCGTGGGACCGTCTTGGGGGGCCTCTTGGGCCGTCATGGGATCATCCTGTGCCGTCTTGGGGCCCTCTTGGGTCAGGATGCGGCGTTCTTGGGGGCCTCTTGGGTCGTGGTGGGCGTTCGGAGACCAGAACAGATCCAGAACGCCAGAATCTTCCAACAAAAACCTAGCGGAGATGGTTGGAAGCAGCGCGCGGTACGTCAATCATCGAAGTGCCAGACGAACAGCGCATCATTGTCGCTATCCCCACGCTCGGGCTGCATGAGACCAAGATTCTCTGGCTCGGGCAGTGCAGGTTGCTTCTCGCCAGCTCCTTCCTGCCAGGGTTCCTCCATTCCCCTCAGAAACGGATTGATTCTACAAAAACAGCGGGACGCGCCCTGATCCTGTGCCGACGCTCTCCCTTGTGCGCCCCCCCCTGCCCATTCCAATATGAGCCCTCTCCGAGAGTTGGCGGCCTTGTGTACTCCCTGCGTGTCTCGTCATTGGAGGAGTTGGGGGGACCCTCCCTACTCGTCGTCCTCATCCTTGTCCTTTCGTGCCTCTGCCCTGACAACATGTACTCGTCTCGTCACCATCCCAGCGGGCTGAGCTTGTTGCCCTGCTCGTTCTCGCTGTGCTGAGCCGCTGCCTCACCTCACGGAAGCAGGAGCCGAGGCCAGTTGTGGCCGCCTCGCCGCCGAGGCGGACGCACCGGTGCCCGACCGCGCTCCGCCGTCGGCCACACCCAGAAGACGAGTGCAAACGGCTGCTGCTGGCCAATCGGGGCCTCTTGGGTGCCATCCGAGTGCGCTCGTCGGGCGTCATGGGAGCCTCTCTGGGGCCGCCTTGAGGCCATCGTGAGCTGTCTCGGGAGGATGTTGGGCCGTCTCGCGGCCTTTTTGGGCCCTCTTGAGGTCCTCTGGGGACCCTCTCGGGCCCATCTTGGAGCCCTCGAGCCCCCAGCCTTTCTGGAGAAGTCACGCGACCGGCCCCAAGAGCCACGCGCCACGTCCCAAGAAAGTCTGGACTTGGGCTCCTGGACCCCTTGATCATTCAGCGCTCAGCATGGATGATCCTTGAGCACCTGAGGACACTCACTCAGTGCTTCGCGGAACGGCGGCGGTTGTTCTTACGATCTGGAAGAGGAGCGTCCCCTTCCAACAAAGATTTGTTGCTTCGGGCTGTTCACGCTGAAGAGCGTGAGGCGGAATACCCAGGGAGCACTAGCATTATTTGGGCCTGGCGACCGCGGTATGCAGTCGTTGTTTGTCAAGGACACGAGACGGGATCTCCAGGGAGCACCGGCACACGGCACACTTTCGGCCTGGCAGCCTTGGTATGCAGGGTGTGCGACGCGGGTCGGGCGGTGGTTTTCCGGGGGAAATTCGACAAGTCCAAACTGACAGGTGGGGAACAAAATGGCTATCAAGATGCCGAGCCCTTGCCAGATGGCCCTAGTTTTCTGAACTTCCTGGACGTCACCGCCGAGCCTGGTGAGCGGGCCGGAGGCGGTCAGGGGGGCGCTCAGGTGCTGCCCAGACCAGCCCCCAAAAAACATCCAGGGGATGAGGGCTTCTGGGAACGCTTCTGAGCCTCCTCCAGAGGCCCCCAGGCACTCGAGCTGCCTCAAGAGCCGATGACTCCCCAACGGTGCCCGCAGCGAGAGGTTCTTACTTGGTCCCCTCGGTTAAGCGACCTAGGCAATTCCGCCAGAGCCGGCGCCCCCGAAGTAAAACAAGTTTGGGCCAGTCGGCTGGCCCCCCAAGGCTCATCGAGGGCCGCGGGTTGACGCGACATTGGAGCCAGAAAAGCTCCATCTTGTTGTCCACTCGTTTCGAGTCGATTCGAGGCAGAGGAGGACGAGAAGCAGGAGGAGAAGGAGAAGGAGGAGGAGAATGTAGCAAAAGAGGAGAAGGAGGAGTAGTAGTGGGAGGAGGAGGAGGAGGACAAGGAGGACAAGGAGGACAAGGAGGCCGCTTCTGCCCTGCGCTCCCTCCCCAGATCCCGCCCGGCCTGCGTGCTCCCGTCAGGCCCCGCCTGCTTCGAGTGCCGCGGCACCCCGGCTGAAATAGCCCGGCCCCGACAGACGGCGCGGCGAGCGCTCAGGGCGCGGCGAGGCAGCTCCGGTGCACCGCGGCGAAACGGCCCGGGGAGGCAGGCCGCGCGAGGGCGGCCGCGGGCGGCACGGCTCCGCGCTGCGCACAGGCTGCCCCCCCCCCCCTCCAGGGGCAGTCCCTGCTGGCCTCCGCGGGCCGCCAGCGCAGTTCCAGGTGGCCTGAGCTCCTCCTCCTCCTCCTCCTCCTCCTCCTCCTCCTCCTCCTCCTCCTCCTCCTCCTCCTCCTCCTCCTCCATTCAATCCCTTCCTCCTCCCCCTGAATGGGGGGGGGGATATCATGGCGGGGGCCAGGATCTCTCCCCCAGGTTTCCTGGCGCCTCCTCGCACTTCAGTACGTCCCAGGCCCCCCCTTGGGCCGCGCACGTGCCGCTGGTCATGATTTGCGCCCGCCCCCCTCTTGGACGCCCCCTTGTGGACGCCCCAGATCGATCAGCAGTCGGGGAACAGACAATGACGTAAGAATAGTTGATTGATGGTCCGCGCGGGGTTCTCGGATCGGCGCTCATGGCGCGCTCCCCCCGCCGGGGAGCGGGGCGCAGCGCCGATCCGAGGACTCCGCGCGGACCTCCGCAAGCTGATGCTCATGTCGTGGCGCGTTCCCCGAAGCAGGCCCCCCGAGTAGCCCGGCGCGGTCTCAACACCTCAACCCTGGGGCGCGGAGCGCCCTAGGGGCGCCGCCAGAGGCGGCGCCAGGGTGCTGAGACAGCCCCCGACAACTATAGGGGGCCTGCTGAGGCCAGACGGCACTGCTTGGGGGGCCTGGCGAGGCGGGCCGGGACTACTTGAGCGGGCTGTCTGTGCGCAGGCCGAAACCTTACCAGCCACGGGAGGGCGCCCGCGGGAGGGGATGGATGGGAGCGAGTGGACCTGGAGCGTGGACGGGGAGGCCCTCCTTTTTCTCGTGCTCCTAATGGCTCCAAGATGGACGTTTTTCCCAAACTAGGCTTGCCTAAGGGGTTCTTACTCGGTTGAAGGTTGGTGCCTCGAGGGGCTACTTTGCCCGTTCCTCTGAGGTTCCCTGGGTTGCTCGGGTTCCTCGTGTTTCTCGGCCACACCCGGGTTCTTCGGGTTCCTTGGGTTCCTCGGGTTCCTTGGGTTCCTCGGGCTTCCCAATCTCCTCGGGTTCACCCCCGGTTGCCCCAAGCAATGCCAAGCAATACCAACCCATGCAAAGCAATGCCAAGGAACTCCAAGCAATGCCAAGCAATGCCAGGCAATGCCAGGCAATGCCAAGCTGCCCAGCCATGGGCCCATGCAATAGGCCTTCCCCTAATTAGGGTCGCGCTGGGTTCATCGCAGGGCACCTGTGCCCCTGGGAGCGTCTGGAGGCCTCCGCGGAGGCCCTGGGGAGACCTCGGGGGGGGGACCTCTCCTCTTCGGGGGGCTGCTGGGGACGTCCGGGCGAGGGCGGGGAGGGTGCTTGCGGGACGTTCGCGCGGGCCCGCCACGTGCCGGCTTTCCGCACCTCTGGGCTTGGCCTCTCCGCCCTGGGCGGGGGATGACCAGGCACATCTCGGCGCCCGCCCACCCGCACCACTCCGCACAGAGGCCAGGGAGGGCAGACGACGAGGAGGAGGAGGGAGGAGGAGGAGGAGGGAGGAGGAGGGGGAGGAGGAGGAGGCGCGGGCCGAGACGAGCTCGTCCGTGGCAGCCGGCTCGCCTCCCGGTGGCTCACTACCGCTTGCAGCGGCTGCCTGCAGCACGCCGGCGGCCGTGGCGAGCCCGCAGCGGCCGAAGAGCTGGGAGCAGCCGCAGCTCTCCTCCTCCTCCTCC